TTAATTTACTTATTTTTTTCTAAGTAGGTGAAACAGTTTCTTTAGCGTGTTTATTAATCATTTGATTTTTCTTTTGTAAATTTCCTGCTTTTCTGTTGTTAGTTTCTTTTGACGTATTGCTTTCTTTTTTTTTTTTTTTTTTTTTTTTTGTGGTACGCGGGCCTCTCACTGTTGTGGCCTTTCCTGTTGCGGAGCACAGGCTCCAGCCACTCTGCGGCATGTGGGATCTTCCCGGACCGGGGCACGAACCCGTGTCCCCTGCATCAGCAGGCGGACTCTCAACCACTGCGCCACCAGGGAAGCCCTGACGTATTGCTTTCTTATTAATTTGTAGTAGCTTAATGTACAAAGGACAGTGAGCCTTTGTTACCTATATTGTAAATACTCTCAGATCTGTTATTCATCTTTTAATTTTGATACTACAATTTAAATTTTTCTTTATTAAGTTTCTGCTTTGCTTATGATACTTAAAAATAAACCTTCTTTATTTCCAGATTTTATAAACACTTGTATATACTGGTGGGATTTCATTCTTCCTCCCTCCTACCCCTCCACCCCCTACACTGATCTTTGTGCATACATGTGCATACATTGAAAACCCCACCAGATGATGTTATAATTTTTGCATTAAAAAATCATAGGTATCTTAAAGGAATTCAGAGGGGAAACATAGTGTTTTATATTTACCCAACGATTTTATCGTTCTTCTCTCATTTTTGATGTTTCAGGTTTCCTTCCAGTATTATTGCCCATCAGCCTGAAGAACTTCCTTTAAAATGTCTTCTAAAAAGCCTGTTGGCAATGGATTCTCTTAATATTCCTTCACTTGAAAATTCATTTATTTGATCTTCATTCCTAAGGGATGTTTTTCCTGGATATAGAATTTTGAAAGGTTTTTTTTTGTTTGTTTGTTTGTTTTGTTCCAGTATCTTTTTCTTTTCCATCTGGACCTCCTATTACATGTATGTTAGTTCCACAGGTCCCTGAGTCTCTGGGCATTTTATTTCAATCTTTTCCCCTTGTTTTTTAAAATTAGATAATTTCTTTTGATCTAACTTCACATTCACTGACCTTGTCCTCCTCTATCATCTCCATTCCGCAATTCAGCAATTCAGCCCAGGAAGTTTTTTGTTTCAGTTATTGTGTTTTTCAGTTCTGAAATTTCCATTTGGTTCTCTTTTCGTAGTTTCTATTTCTTTACTGAGAATTCCTATCTTTTGATTCATTTCAGTGTGTTTATTTTACGTCATTGCTATTAACTTATACCAGCATAGTTATTTGCTTTAAGTCTTTGTCTGATAGTACCAGCATCTGGATCATCTCAGCATTGGCATCTGTTGATTGTCTTTTCTCTTGAGAGTTGGTTACATTTTCCTGGACTTTGTATGTTGAGTAATAATGGATTGTATCCTGGATATTTTGGACTCTTAGTTGGGTTATAATCATCTGGGCAGTGTTGATGTTCGTTGTTAACAGGCAGTCCATCCAAAGTCAAGATATAAGTTCTGTCAGCAGTGTCTTGGCAGACAATGGTTCAAATCTCATTTCCATTCCTGAAGAGTTTGCTATACTGTTTTGGGTCTCTCCTGCACATACACAGTTTAGGGATTGGTCTGAGACTTATACAGGTTTTTCAGTTTGACAGAATTATATAGTATTTTGATTCTCTCTTGGTATCTAAAGTATAATGAACCTCAAGGTTAAATATTGAATTTGGAGAGGAGTTGAGGAAGATGGCAGAAGAGTAAGACGCGGAGATCACGTTCCTCCCCACAGATACATCAGAAATACATCTACACGTGGAACTGCTCCTATAGAACACCCACAACGCTGGCAGAAGACCTCAGACCTCCCAAAAGGCAAGAAACTCCCCACGTACCTGGGTAGGGCAAAAGAAAAAAGAAAAAACAGAGACAAAGAATATGGACGGGACCGGCACCAGTGGGAGGGAGCTGTGAAGGAGGAAAGGTTTCCACATACTAGAAGACCCTTCACTGTCGGAGACAGGAGGCGGGCGGCGAGAGGGGGGGAAAGCTTCGGAGCCACGGAGGAGAGCGCAGTAACAGGGGTGCGGAGTACAAAGCGGAGAGATTCCCGCACAGAGGATCGGTGCCGACCAGCACTCACCAGCCCGAGAGGCTTGTCTGCTCACCCGCCGGGGCGGGCGGGGGCTGGGAGCTGAGGCTCGGGCTTCAGTCGGATCCCAGGGAGAGGACTGGGGTGGGCTGCGTGAACACAGCCTGAAGGGGGCTAGTGCGCCACAGCTACCCGGGACGGAGTCCGGGAAAAAGTCTGGACCTGCCGAAGAGGCGGGAGACTTTTTCTTGCCTCTTTGTTTACTGGTGCACGAGGAGAGGGGATCAAGAGCGCTGCTTAAAGGAGCTCCAGAAACGGCCGCGAGCCGCGGTGATCAGCGCGGACCCCAGAGACGGGCATGAGACGCTAAGGCTGCTGCTGCCGCCACCAAGAAGCCTGTGTGCGAGCACAGGTCACTATCCGCACCTCCCCTCCCGGGAACCTGTGCAGCCCGCCACGGCCAGGGTCCCGTGAGCCAGGGACAGCTTCCCCAGGAGAACGCACGGCGCGCCTCAGCCTGGTGCAACGTCACGGCGGCCGCTGACGCCGCAGGCTCGCCCCGCATCCGTACCCCTCCCTTCCCCCGGCCTGAGTGAGCCAGATCCCCCGAATCAGCTGCTCCTTTTAACCCCGTCCTGTCTGAGCAAAGAACAGACGCCCTCAGGCGACCTACACGCAGAGGCGGGTCCAAATCCAAAGCTGAGCCCCTGGGAGCTGTGAGAACAAAGAAGAGAAAGGGAAATCTCTCCCAGCAGCCTCGGGAGCAGCGGATTAAATCTCCACAGTCAACTTGATGTACCCTGCATCTGTGGAATACATGAATAGACAACGAATCATCCCAAATTGAGGAGGTGGACTTTGGGAGCAACGATATATATATATATATATTTATATATATTTATATATATATTTTTTTTCCCCTTTTCCTCTTTTTGTGAGTATGTGTATGCTTCTGTGTGAGATTTTGTCTTTAAAGCTTTGCTTTCACCATTTGTCCTAGGGTTCTGTCCGTCCGATTTTTGTTGTTTTTTACTTAAAAAATTTTTTTTTCTTAATTTTTATTTTTTATTTTAATAACATTATTTTATCTTTATTTTATTTTTTTTTCTTTCTTTCTTTCTTTTCTTTCTTTCTGCTTTTCCTCCCTTTTATTCTGAGCCGTGTGGATGAAAGGCTCTTGGTGCTCCAGCCAGGCATCAGGGCTTTGCCACTGAGGTGGGAGAGTCAAGTTCAGGACACTGGTCCACAGGAGACCTCCCAGCTCCATGTAATATCAAACGGCGAAAATCTCCCAGAGATCTGCATCTCAACGCCAGGACCCAGCTTCACTCAACAACCAGGAAGCTACAGTGCTGGACACCCTATGCCAAACAACTAGCAAGACAGGAACACAGCCCCATACATTAGAGAGGCTGCCTAAAATCATAATAAGGCCACAGACACCCCAAAACACACCACCAGACATGGACCTGCCCACCATAAAGACAAGATCCAGCCTCATCCACCAGAACACAGGCACTAGTCCCCTCCACCAGGAAACCTACACAACCCACTGAACCAACCTTAGCCACTGGGGGCAGACACCAAAAACAACAGGAACTACGAACCTGCAGGCTGCAAAAAGGAGACCCCAAACCCAGTAAAATAAGCAAAATGAGAAGACAGAAAAACACACACCAGATGAAGAAGCAAGATAAAAACCCACCCGACCTAACAAATGAAGAGGAAATAGGCAGTCTACCTGAAAAAGAATTCAGAATAATGATAGTAAAGATGATCCAAAATCTTGGAAATAGAATAGACAAAATGCAAGAAACATTTAACAAGGACCTAGAAGAACTAAAGAGGAAACAAGCAACGATGAACAGCACAATAAATGAAATATTGAATTTGGTTTGGGCCCAATCCACATTAACCCTACGGATCAATAAAACTCCACATTCTTAACAAAAGCAGGAAAGTACAGTAATTAGCTTTATAGTGATTTTTCAGTAATCAGTTTCCAGTTTTTAAGACTTTATAAGCTTTATTTAATGCCAGTTTTAAAATAGATTAAGTCAAGCCTGTCCCACTAGTGAAAGAAACAGGAATGGTATCGTTCAAATTTTAAACAAAAATAAGTGAAAATTATTTATTTGTTTGAACATGTTAATTTCTTCTAGAGGCCTTTTTGTAAACTGTTAACAGTAAACCTGAGAGTTACGTTGGAGTTTCTTCTTTGGGTATTTGCCTACACATACGTTTAATTTGAATAGTCTTGTTTTTATTTTCAGGAAAAAAAATATGTAATATTTTAAAATTTCATTTATCTCATCACAAAAATAATCATAGTACTTTGCTTTAAAACTGGATGAACAAGATCAGAAGAAATTAAATGAGCTGGCTTCATATAAAAGAGTACGTTTTAGTTATTTATTGCTGTGTTAGCAAACCACTCGAAAATTTAGCGCCTTGAAGTCAAAAATCATGTAGGTTTACTTGTCTGTGTTTCTGCAGTCTGGACTGGACTTACATACTAATTCTGCTCCTAGGGTTTTTCATGCTGCTGCAGTTGTGTGGAGGCTTGACTCACATGGCAGCATCTCAGTGGAAGAGTCTGGTTGGGCGAGGGGCCGCATGAGCCTTTCTCCATGTAGATTCTCACCTTTCAGTGGTCCACCACGGTCATTTCTCTAATTTAACACATACTGAGTATTTGATTAGCCTTGTTGCCCTTATTATTATGTTGTTTCTGTGGGGAAAAGCCAAATTATATTACTTTATTTTTACTAGTATCGTGTTTTCCAGGAAAAATAGTGACCTACCATAAGTTTAAGAGTGTCTGATATTGGAAATGGTTTCTTATTTGCCATGGCTTAAGACTGTATAATCAATTGTTATGTAATTAGTTTAATAATTATTTATATTCCTTTGTTTTTAAACAGGCATTTGCTGGCTACTTCGATATATATTTTGAGAAGAATTGCCACAACAAGGTAAGTATCACAAGTTGTCTCATAAGAATTAATTATGTGAAATACATTGTATTTTATTTTTGTGCCCCAAGGTGTTTGATCATAAGCATTTTGCTGTTGTAAGCAGTTGGAGCTTGTATTAGATGTAGTAGATTAATGTACCATGATATTAAAAATCTTGTACTTCATCGGGTACTTTTGAACTCTACCAATGCAGGTCGTATTCTCTACGGGCCCCCAGAGTACCGAAACACACTGGAAACAAACAGTATTCCTATTGGAAAAGCCATTTTCAGTTAAAGCAGGTAAGAAAGAAAAAGGGGGAAAATGTCTTATCCATTCTGAAGTAAACAATATTCATTCGTTCTACAACCACTTTTTCTATGCCCACTGTATTTGAAGCAATATGACATACTAAGATAAGTTCTTAGAGTTTACCATGTACATAAATTTTAGGTGGCATATTGTTTCATTAAAGAAGTAAGTTAAAGAAAACTCTTATTTAAATTTAATTTCTGCCAGTTAAAATATATGTGACATTATGTAGCTCTTATTTTGAGTACCACAAAATCAGAAAATTTTTCTTTAAGCAATAGCTAATATGTATTAAGTAGCAAATATAAATAAAAGAAAATGTTCTCATTTCCCAAGTGACCAAAGAGAAATATCACCAGAAGAAGTAAAGTGTAAATTAAAGAGAATGTCATTCAGTAGTTATTATATTCAAAATATATTTTTATTTGTCTAGAATGCTCTCCACTGTGTCCACCTCCTCAAATCTTACATAGTGTTTGAAGACTGATCCAATTCTACATTCATCTCATTGATTGTTCACTTACACGAGCACCTATAGTTCTTACATACCTACACATTTAACTCCAAAAGTTAGAATTTGATTATGGAATTTTTTTTTTAACTGCTTATTACATATAAGTCTTCTTGTCCCATCTTCACTGAAAGCCTTCTGACTGTAGGAAAACTGAATGTACAACAGCCTTCATTGTAAAGATATTCAACATCAAATTATTTGTGTCTCTCAAAAGCAATACTGAGCAAAAATTTGCAGAATGATTCCTACAATATATGTACACACACACATAGTAAAAGTAAGAAGCAACACTTAAGAATGGTAACCACTGAATTCATGGTAGTGGTTCACTTTAGGGAAGGATGGAAGTAGGATCAGGGAAGGCTACAAAGGGGGTTTAGTGCCATGTATCTGAACTATTTCTTTTAAAAACTGAAGGAACTGTGGCAGAATGTTAAGATTTGACAAAGCTGAGTAGAGGTCATTAAATCATTCTCTTTGTGTTTAAAATATTTCATAAAATTCTAATGTGGTTTTGATTTCACTGTTGAGACATAAAGGAATTTAGTAGATGCAAATAAACACTGTTAGAGTAAAGCAGCACCTTGTCATTTTTTTCACTTTGAGGTTGCAGTGCTATGGAAATAAAACCTTGATGGCGTGATTTTCTTTCTCTAGAAAGCTTGAGCACAGCAAAACTGAAATGAAGCCAACACATCCTCATTTCTGTTTCTTTGTTTTGTTTTTTGTTTAGCTCTGGTATTTGGATTGATTTTGGGAAAATTGAAAATACTGCTTTTTTCCCTCACTGTAACCATTTTGTTGTCTTAATGCTAAAATTTTAAAGGCATTACTGATTCTTTCATGTTTTAATCTTGAGGGGGGTTTAAGATAGCATTTGAATTTTCTCCTGCCTAATTACAACAAAGTGTTATTTGATGCCTAGTGAAATTTTGAAATCCTAAATATTCTTTACCCAGTAATCCTTACAGTAATTGATTCAGCTTTTTCAGAATACTGTGAAGAAGGTATATGATTCTAATGCTGCCCTCTGGCACCATCTACATTCTCTTTTTCTTTCATTGCCATTGTGTGTACTCATATTTAAATGGTAAGGCCAATAGGCTCCCCTAAAATAGCACAACCTGCGGAGAGTTTGAAAGAGAAATTTCAAAGTAAGGAAAATGTGGTCATTCTCAGTTACAAGAATTTTTTTTTTACCCTGCTGTAGTAAGCCTTTGGTGGTAGTACTGATGAATAGAAGCCAGAAGCTCTGGGGCAGAGTATTGGGGTACACATTAGTCAGAAAAAGAGCTCTGGAGATCTCCGATACGCCCTTGAGTTTTAGATGAGTGCTAAGATGGTGTGTATGTGGGATGAAATGCCTGAGGTCAGGCAAAGCAGTTGGAGTAGTTGTGAACCACATATTTCCCAGCATTTACACAGGGCTGGGGTATTCAAATTTCATCAAGCTAGAGTGGAGCGTCTTTCTGGACTCTATTCAGTGGAGATCCCAGAAGGACCATAGTAGCGGGAATAAACTGTCACTTGAGTAAAGGCAACTCTGGATGCTCCTTAACAAAGCTTAAAAACAAGTCTTAAGAGGAAAAACTGAACTTCATGTAACCTTAATAGCAACAAAGGAGAACAATAATATCAGATGTTCAATGACATAAAATTCAACATGGGCCAGCATTCAATCAAACATTGAATGCAGGAAAATACCAGTCAGTAGAAACAAACCCAGAAATGATAGAATTAGCACACAAGCATGTTGAAATATATTATAACTACTTTTATATGAACATAGGAAAATATGAGAAGATATTTACAATCCAAATAGGACTTCTAGAGATGGAAATTACAACATCTGAAGTGAAAATGTCATTTGATGGAGTTAACGGCAGGAAAGATCAGAGAACGTAAAGATACAGCAATAAAATGTATCCAAAAAGAAGCACAGAGAGGGGGGAAAAAGATTTTTTTAAAAAATTAATGTATCCTCAGTAACCTGTGGGAAAATATGCAGCATTCAACCTTAAATATAATAGTAGAAGTCCATGGAAGAATCAGGGGCAGAAAACATAATGGATAAAATTTTCTTATATTTGATAAAAACTATAACTCACAGATTGAAGAAATTGAGTGAACTCCAAGAAATTGAGTGAGCTCCAAGAAGGATCAACACAAAGAAAACAACCCCAAGACACATCATAAACAAATTGTTGGTATGCAGTGATAATTAAAAAAAAGAAAAAAACTTTAACCAGAGAAAAAGAAAACATATAGAGAGGAGCAGACCAACAATACAAAATATATTAAAGTAAGCTCTTCAAGTGGAAAGAAAATATCACCAAAATTTTCAATATTTAGAAAATTCCACTCTAAACGAAGGAGTGGAAAATGCCAGAAATGGTAAATGTGTGTGAGTACAAAGAAAAGCCTTTATTTTCTCACCTTTTAATTTCCTAAAAGATAATTGACTATTTAAAGCAAAAATAATAATGCATTGTGTGTTTTAAAACATATGGAGACATAAAATATATGGCAATGATTTAAAAAAGAAATTAATTAGAAAATGGAAATATATTGTAAAGTCCTTACACTTAGATGAAGCAATTTAATGGTGAACTGATGAATTAAGTATGTACATTGTAAACCCCAGAGCAACAGCTAAAAATTTTTAAATTAAACCACAAAATATAGCTAATAAGCTAGTAGTGGAGATAAAATAGAATCCTGAAAAGACTATTCAAGAGAAGATAGGAACATAAACAGATGGATAAATAGAAAACAAAAGGTATGATGGTAGACTTAAATTCAAACATATTGATAATTATATTAAATATGAATGGTCTGTACATCCAGATGATGGAATTTCATTCAGTGCTAAAAAGAAATGAGTTATGAGCCCGTGAAAAGACATGGAGGAATCTTAAACACATCTTACTAAGTGAAAGAAGCCAATCTGAAAAGGCTATACACTGTGTGATATGTGGTAATGACATTCTAGAAAAAGCAAAACTATGGAGATAATAAAAAGATCAGTGGTTGCCAGGGGCAGGGGATACAAATAAGCAGAACACAGAAGGTTTTAGGGCAGTGAAGATACTCTTTATGATATTATAATTAGGATATATGTCATTTACATGTGTCGAAACTCGTAGAATATGTAACACCAAGAGTGAACCCTAAGGTAAACTACAGAATTTTGGTGATTATGATGTATCATCAATGTGGGCGCATCCTTGGTTAAAAAAAAAAAAAAAAAAAGTACCATTCCAATGAGTGATGTTGATAGTGGGGGAGGCTGTGCATGTGTGGGGGCCGGGGGATATGAGAAGTCTCTGTACCTTCCTCTCAGTTTTGTTGTAAACATAAACCTGCTTTAAAAAGTTAAGTCTTTTAAAAAATGTTAATAGCCTAAACATGCCAATTAAAAGGCAGAAATAAACAGAATAAAAGCAAGAACTAACTAAATGCTGTTTACGGGAAACACACTTAATATAAAGACAGTAATTCCGGTTGCCAGTGACGTAAGTGCATTCATCCCATCTGTCTCACTGAATGCAGCTTTAAAACCAGAACGCATGGAACAGCTCTTTGAAATCTCTGAAAAGTACATAATAGCAGATAAATTGGAGAAGATGACCAGAATTTGAATTACCACTGAACTGGTGGTAAATTTGTGATTAGTTTTCCTTCAGTATCCCCTAGCCTGGACTCCAGACAGCCTGAAACTCAGAAGAGGGCCTCAGCACAGACAGGAAGAGCTCCCAAAGGAGCCCTCTGATTCTAGCTTGAGGAGTGGGGAAAGGGTCTCCTAATGCTTAGAGAGAGTGGGGGGAAATCCCCATTTTTCTTTTCTATGTTTCTTCTCTGTTCTGCCATATCGCAGCCCACAAGTAATCCTACAGTGGTGGCAGCAGTAACAGTGGCAGCAGTAGGGACCTGCATACCCATAGGTAAATGAGTGGGTGTGGCTGTGTTCCAATTAAATTTTATTTACAAAATCAGCAGCCAGACTCAAAAGCCTTCCATAAAACAAATCTCCAGGCACATTGCTTCATTGCAAATTCTCCCAACGACTTAAAGGGAGAAATAACACCAGTTCTACATAGTCTCTTCCAGAAAATAGAAGAGAGCTAATTTTATGAGGGCAGTATTATCTTGATACCTAAAATTAGACAAAGGTAGTACAAGAAAATTAAACTGCAGACCAGTGTCCCTCATGAATACAGATGTAGAAATCCTCAACAAAATAGTAGCAAATTGAATCCAGCATACATGTATAAGAAGAAAACACACCATGACCAAGTGCATTTTATTCCAGGAATGCAAGGCTAATTCAATATTTTAAAATCTTATAATGCAGTCCGCCATGCTAACAGTCTAAAGAAGAAAAGCCACATGATCATATCAGTGGATGCAGAAAAAACATTTGACAAAATTCAATATTCCTTCATGACAAGTACAGCAAACTAGAAATAAAAGAGA